GAGGAGGCGGAGGAGGATGAATAGAAGGAGGAGGAGGAGAAAAAGGGGGAGGAAGCGGGGATTTTAACCACGGTGCCGTCAAGAGGAGGAGCAGCAGCAGCGTCAGCAGGAGCAGCATCATTCTGATAGTGTACATATTCCATACAAAATTAAGTTTTCATGCGGGGTCCATCCGTTGGAGTATTTTTTTTGCTCGCCGAAAGTCCCCCTATAGGTGGACAGGCGCGACTTAACCTCTGGCCTGGCGGCCGCGGCCTTGAGGTGTGCAGGGCGTGCGAGGCGGGTCGGGAGCTCCCTGAATCCAACAACAGCAAGGCGAGCGAGGCGACCGTGCGGCCAACGGGAGCGTCGACGGCTCCGTTGCGACGAGGACGAGCCACGGGGAGGGGAAGGCGGACGCGGAGGACGGGAAAGAGGACAAAGGACGAGGAGCAACACAAGGAGGAAGAGGACGAGCGAGCGACATCCTGTTGCGACTGTCCCACAGACCCGCTACTCGTTACGAGGTAGATATCAACCCTGAATATGCGACGCACCTCGACGCACCCTGGCGCACCATCTGCATGCACTCGCTGCCCAGCACGCTCTACTCCGAGCATTGTGCCCATTACCCGCCCGTCTGAATAAGTAGGTGGAAATAGGAAGTAGGAAGGCGGATGAAGTAGATTGGGTCTGGGTCCGCCAAACGAATCACCCAAACCAACAAACGCATATATATATATAGACATACATACATACATACATACATACATACAGACAGACAGACAGACAGACAGACAGACAGACAGACAGACAGACACACATACATACACAAATGCATACACGATATATATATATATATATGTATGTGTGTATGTAGGTATGCATGCATGTATGTATGTAAGTATGTATGTATGTAAGTATGTATGTATGTCTATGTATGTGTGTATGTGTGTGTTTGTATGTGTAGTTGTATGTATGCATGTATGTATGTATGTATGAATGTATGTATGTATGTATGCATGTATGTATGTGTGTGAGTATGGATGCATGCATGCATGCATGCATGTCTGTATGTATGTATGTATGTTTGTGTGGATACATGTATGTATGTGTGGATGTATGTATGTATGCATGTAGCCATGCATGTATGTATGTATGTATGTATGTATGTATGTGCGTGTGTGTATGTATGTATGCATGCATGTATGTATGTATGTATGTATGTATGTATGTATGTATGTGTGTGTATGTAAGTATGTATGCATGTATGTATGCATGTATGTATGTATGTATGTATGCATGCATGCATGCATGTATGTATGAATGTGTGTATGTATGTATGTATGTATGTATGTATGTATGTATGTACGTATGTATGTATGTGCGTATGTATGTATGTATGTATGTATGTATGTATGTATGTATGTATGTATGTATGTATGTATGTATGTATGTATGTATGTATGTATGTATGTATGTATGTATGTATGTATGTGTGTGCGCGTGTATTCCTATTCCTATATTTCTATTACCCAGACCCCGCCCCACCACCACCCCACCCCTAAACCGAAACACCCCCCAGGGACGCCCCAGACGCCGTTTCGGACGTCTCGGCAGCCCCCTGGACACCATTTGGAATAAGGTCCGCTGGGCCTTCAAGGCCTCCCAGGGCGCCTTGCCGGGCCTTGCGAACAGGCTCAAGGCGATCAGAAGGGTCGTCGGAGAGGCGCAAGAGAGACCCAAGACAGCACAAGAGCGCTCCATGAAGAACCTCGATGGTCTGAAGACGGCCGAAAGAGGCCCCCAAGACGTCCCAAGAGGCCGTTAAGAGAGCCCCGAAGAAGCAAACATCGTCGCATTTCCCTTTTGAGAAAATGTATATGTTTAACATCTCCACTTACTGGGTCTTCGCAGCGCCAAAATGGCCCGATGGGCCTCCAATATCGCCCCAAGATGACCCAAGAGGCCCCCCAGAGGGTTTGAAGACGGCCCAAGAGGGCCCCAAAACTGCCCCAGAGAGCCCCGAGACTGCTCACGAGAAGCCCAAGATGAAGGCTCCCAAGAGAGACCCACGAAAGCCATAGGAGACCCCCAAGAAGGCCACTAGAGGCCACAAAGAAGGCCTAGATGGCTTCAGAAAACCTCTGGAAGGCCCCAGCTCGCCAAGACGGCCCAAGAAAGCCCCAAAACGGCCCAAGAGGGCCCCAGGACGGCCCAAAAGAGTCCCCAAAACGCCTAGACGGTGTCCTCCTACGAAGCATATCGAACTGACCCGACGATCTTGGTTCCACGCTTGAGGCCCAAGGTTTGAGTTCGTCGATCGAGAGAGACAGGTAACTCATTTAGTTTCGAAGCTCGACGATCGAAGGTTTCCTGAATGCCCCGGGCCCTCCAGGCAGTCAGAAGCGACGAAATATCGAGTTGTCCGGAGCTACTGCGACTTATTCGGCGTGTCATGGGAACGCTCCTTACTTCCTCAAAGGACCTTCGCTCTGAAAATCATCACTTTTCCCCACTCCTGCGCACCAGCGTGCAAGCGCATCAGGCGAACGCGGTGGCAGCAGGAACCAGGGATATCAGAAAAATGAGCGGGTCGCCCGTCTAGGCCTCTAGGTCCCTCTGATGAAGCAAGCGATGATGTATTGCTTTGCTGGGGAGGGTCCGGAACAAGGCACATGGCGCGAAGCGCCAATGCTGTCTTGTGCATATACAAATATATTAATAAACATAGATAGATATACACATATATATATACTCTTGTATAAATATGTATACATACACCTGTTCTTCAAGTAGGAAAGGATCTGGGAATGCCAAAGTACCTACTTCCAACGATCGGCGTGTACTTTTAGATGGCCAAAGTATACCTGGCGAGTTGTTGAAGAAACCTGTTTGAAGTACTGTCTCGGTACACGATGCTGATTTCCTGGGAAACGACGGAAGCCCACCTGAGAACGTGGGAGAGCCCGACAAAGGCGCGCAGCCCATCCCTCCGGCAACGGGCATCCTGGGAAGACCCTGGGAGCTCGCGGAGGAGCCACGCGAACAAAACGAGTACGCATCCGATCTCTCCTGCAATGAGGAGCCAGGGATGAATCCCATGGAGCCCGTCGGGGAACACCCGCGCGCTGTCACGGACATATCGTGCCAGGCAACCTTCTCACGGCAGGCTCGTGTCGTGATGACTTCGGCGCTGGATCCTGACACCTCGTGGATCGTTCAACCTTGATCGAGCGCGGCCCAACCTGGATGAAGACGTCGGCTGCCGTGCGATCTTCAGCACGCACGTTCAACTTAACAGTTGCGCGCGGGCATTAACTAGAGGGCTGGAGATCCACCCCGATAATAAGCACCCCGACAACGCAACCGTTTCGTAAACGCACCCGACGGAGGAATCGAACAAGAAAGCGCTGTTCAGTAAACGCACGGGGCAGTTTAGCAGGCGCCGATTGCGGGGGTCGGGGTGGATTTGTCCTCGTTGATTAACTCGATGCTCATCGGCGCCGTTCACACAGGCGAAAGCTGGTAAAAGCGACGGCCTGGAGGGTCTGGGGCCCCATAAGGGGGCCCCACATCTGGCCGCACGCCGTGCGCTCCCCCGAAGCGAGCGACGACCGCGGCATCCCAGACGCAGCACCTGCCGCACAGGCCGACCAGACCGGACCCACCGGGCGACCCAGTGGGTTCGGACCCCTCCAGAACCGCGTGGAAAAAACAAAGGCCCCGGGGGAGTCTGGCCCCACGCGGGCGGCTAGGGCCCTCTCCTCCGCCGTGGCCCTGTTTCCGTGGCACGAGCCCCCAAGGATCGCGACGTGAGCTGACATCGCTTGACTCACTGAATCGGGCCGGTCGCATCCGTTAGGCGGCCGTTTTCTGCTCGGCGGTCAAACGCACAACCCATGGCGCAACCAATCGCAGGCCGTTGTATCCTCGGCGCCCGAGCGCGGTACCTATGATCTATGGCGCAACCAAGCGCAGGCCGCTTTATTCTCGGCGGCCGCGCGCACAACCTACGGCGCATCCAGGCACAGGCCGCTCTATTCTCGGCGGCCGCGCGCAGAACCTACGGCGCATTCAATAGTAGGCCGTTTGAGCCTCGGCGGGCGAGCGCGCAACCAACGGCGCAACCGATAGCAGGCCGTTCTGCACTCGGTGGCCAAGCGCGCCACTCCTGGTACAACCAGTCGCCGGCCCCTCGGTTCTCGGCCGGGGCAGCGGGAAGGGGGCAAAAGGCAGGCCCAGGAAGCACAGGCGCACGGAGACCGGGGAGGGCCTTCATGACGACAACGACCACCACGACGACCATTAACGACCACGACGAGGCCGAAGCCGGCGATGAACAGACCGACGTGGCCCAGAAACCGGGGGGGCCTGGTAATTTCTGCGGGGGTACGCCCGACATGTGGACGACTCGGGACCAGAAGCCCTTGGCATCTGATCCTTGGGCCGCACCTCTTGCTTCCGCCGGCTCCTGCTGGCCCTCTGCCGAAGTTCGCCGGCGCAGCCGCCCTCGTTTAAGACTTCTGCCGCCTTCCGCCGTGGGAGAAGCACCACCTCCTTCGACCCCTCGAGGGCGCGGCCCTCTCTGGAGCGCTCCATCCGTGCGCGCACCCTTCGGGCTGGCCCTGGGGCCCAAACGGCGAGCTGCCCTGTGATCCAGATCGACCACCGCTCTGGCCTGCGCCCACCCCAGGGCTCGCTGCTGAGCCCGCTCGGCGTCTGAGCCCGCGCGGCCACCGCACGGACCCGAGATCGTGCCTACGCGACCGCCGAGCTGGCGAGCTTCCCGCTCGAGCACTCTGGGCTCGAGCCCGTTCGGCTGCCCCTCCGGCGGCCGAGCAGGCTCACGCGCCGAATGGACTCAGAAAGGGCATTCCCAGGGATCTTCGACGAAAAATTTAAAAATACTCGAAACATGCTCCAAAACAAGATTCCCCATACTATTTGTTTTACTATTTCTGAAGAGTCCTCCTGTAGAGGGGCGGGCCCGACTTCATCCCAGGGACACGGAGCCCTGCCCCCCTCCTGGGCGAGGTCGTCCTCGGGCGACTGCCGCAGCCGTCTCCGAGCACCGCGAGCCTGCCCGCCCGCGCGCCCGAGGCGCTCTGCTCCGCCCTCCGCCTGCTGCTTCTGCCTCTCCTCCGCGTCCACCTCGGCCTCGTCCTCGTCGCCCCTTCCCTCCCCTGCCCCGCATCCGCCCCGTCCGCCCGCCCGCCCTCGTCCTCCTCCTGCTCCTGCTCGTCCTCCTCCCCCCCCCCCTGGTGCGTGAGAGGTGCGGCAAATTCGAGGATGGACGGCTGGCCGTTTTCGCAACGTGTGGCAGATTCCGGGAACCCTGAACCCAAAAACGTTTGGTCGATTTTTTGTTTCCGCCGCCTTCCGCCAGCCTTCCGCCGCCCTTTCCACCGCCTTCCGCCGAGGAAGAGATGGCAACTCCTGCGAACCTTTGTAGAACGCCTCATGTAGCCTTCGCCGTAGCGCCGCGGACATTCCTTTTATCAGATTGCAAGAGCTTCACGAACGAAGGGCGGGCCGTTTTCAAAATCTGGTTACCACTTCAGCGCCGCACAGTCGTCTGAAAAGCTTGCAGAAGTTACACGGATGGAAGACCATCCCTTTTCAAAATGTGGCCCTCGCCTGAGCACAGCGCAAATTCGTTTTGAAGTCTACGACAATGTCACGGACAGAGGGCGGTGTTTTTTCCAACATGTGGCGCCGTGCACATTGAGAAGGTTTACAGCACTTCTAGCGATTATGATGTTAACTATGTTTATTCTGGCGCGAATCAAGATAGTCAGGACGCAAAAGTAACGTGGATTCGCGGCGTTACAGTCCCAGGAACAGTTGTTTGGCAAGATTGAGAATTATAAGGCAGTTGCCTTCGCACGGGGCACTTCCCGAAATGAAAATAAACGTCTGTAGGGAACGAAAAAAAAGGAACTTGGGGGGAGGGTGCATTGTCACATCGTTGATGAGTCTTGGGTTTGCCCTGGTCCTCCTCCTCCTCCTGTTCTCCTTCCTCCTCCTCCTCCTCCTCCTCCTCCTCCTCCTCCTCCTCCTCCTCATCATCATCATCATCATCATCATCATCATCATCATCATCATCATCATCATCATCATCATCATCATCATCATCATCATCATCAGCATCATCATCATCATCATCCTCATCATCATCATCTTCTTCCCCCTCCTCCTCCTCCTCCTCCTTCTCCTATTCCTCGTCCTCTTATTCTTCCTCCTCTTCCTCCTCTTCCGACCCCGTCATTATCCTCCTCCTCATCCTCCTCCTTCTCTCCCTGCTCTTCCTCCTCCTACCACAACATTAATTATCCTCCTCCGCCTCCTCCTCCTCCTCCTCCTCCTCCTCCTCCTCCTCCTCCTCCTCCTCCCCCATCGCCCCCGTCTCCGTCGCCCCCCTCCCTTCCTGGACCTCGTCGCCGCCCGCGCCCCGTCGCGGAGGCGGGCGGGAGGGCCGGCGCGCGCAGGTGCGCAGCCTCGGGGTGAGCGGGGGGGCCCTCCCCGCGTGGGGAGGGCGTGGAGGCCCCCGGACTTCCCCCAGGCCAAAACTAGGGGAGAGTGAAGGGGGAGAGATGGAGGACGGGGGAGGGATGGAGGGGAGGGATGGGGGGAGGGATGGGGGATGGGGGATGGGGGGATGGGGGGATGGGGGATGGGGGGAGGGATGGGGGATGGGGATGGGGAGGGATGCGGGGAGGGATGGGAGATGGGGGAGGGACGGGGGATGGGGGGAATGGCCAAGGACTGGGCTCACGGCGATGCTGCTCGGCGGTGATGTGGGGGACCAAGTGGTAGGAGATCGCGAGCCGCTCTTCCCTGCGTCTCCAGTCTGCGAACAGATCCAGCGAACACGACACAGCGAATTATAGGAAAGCGCGAGCCACGCGTTCCCACAACACCGAAACCTACATCGCCGTTGCCTGCATCACCGGTAGCCCGTCTACAGGATGGGGGGATGGGGGGATAGGGGGGAAGGAGGGGAAGGAGGGGAAGGAGGGGAAGGATGGGCCCAGGGATGGCGGGGGAGAAAGTGGAGAAGGTGCAGAGGGAACGGGCGGGAGGGGGGGCGCAGCAGTTCGGCCGGCGATTCGTCCAAGCGTGGCGAGGCTCTACTGCCGCCCAGGCCTACTTCGCAGTGGCGGGAGGTGCCGCAGATCGAACAGGAATGGGGAAAAAAAGCGCCCTCCCCCGACCGAAGTCCCCGACAGGCGCGGAGCACAGGGAGTCCCCGACCGAAAGCAAAAACGGGCCTGTGGCGATCAGGGCGTGGCGCGCCCCGTCTGCGCACCCGAGCAAGAGGAACCCGCCTCAGGCGCGTTCTGGCCTGCGCGCCTCGGCAGCCCAGTGAGCCGCGGCGCCACCCCTGGGGGGGGGCATCCCCCGCAGCTGCCCAGGGCACAGAGGCCCGCGCAGCCGTTGCCAGCTGCTCCCGCAGCGCACCCGAGAGGGAAAAGGCGACCAGTGGCGTGCTGGCGGTGGGCGCCGAGGTGCCACTGGAGGCTTCCCTGGGGCATGGTCCCGAGACGGGCGGTCGGACGGGAGGCCTGTCGCAGGTCGTTCCAGGCGGACTGAGCTCGCTGGAATCTGTCCAGCAGCGGGCTAGACCGCTCCTGGATGGTAAGAGGAGCGTGCGCGAGGTTTGTGGCACGGTGTTGTGACGCCGTGATGCTGGGAACGAGACCCGTGAAAGGAGCGCGATCCACCGTCACCGGCCTTTCTACCGCCCCCGCAGGAAAATCATTCGGGGGGTCCACGAACTCCCCCTCCCCGATAACGACGACGACAACGACGACGACGACGACGACGACGACCGCTCATTGCGGCATCGCTCCCGAGTGCCTTTGCTGACGGCGGCCTGTGCTTTCAACGTCGGCGTCGTGGCCGTCGCTATCGTGACCTCCTGATGGAGCAGCAGTGGCTTCGCCGTCGTTGTCCCAGGCCGCACCTAGCCTACTTGGGTCCTCGCCTTCTCCTTCGAAGTCGTCGGATGGGGCCGCCATGAGTCGTCGAGATCGTGGAAGAAGTCTGGCTCTGGTGGGCTGTGCGGTTGCAAGAGGTCGCCATGTGAGGCTGGTGGCTCGTCACTTCTGCGCACATCCTCCTCCTCCTCCTCCATCATCATCATCATCATCATCATCATCATCATCATCATCATCATCATCATCATCATCAGCAGCAGCAGCATCATCATCATCATCATCATCATCATCATCATCATCATCATCATCATCAGCAGCATCAGCATCATCATCATCATCATCATCATCATCATCAGCATCATCATCATCATCATCATCAGCATCAGCATCATCAGCATCAGCATCATCATCATCATCATCATCATCATCATCCATCATCATCATCAGCATCATCATCATCATCATCATCATCATCATCATCATCATCATCATCATCAGCATCATCATCATCATCATAAGTATCATCATCATACTCATCATCATCATCATAATCAGCATCATCATAATCATCATCATCATCATCATCATAATCAGCATCATCATCATCAGCAGCATCATCATCATCATCAACATCATCATCATCAGCATCATCATCATCAACATCACCACCATCATCATCATCGGCATCATCATCATCATCAGCATCAGCATCATCATCATCAACAGCATCATCAACATCATCATCATTATCATCATCATCAGCATCATCATCATCAACATCATCATCATCATCATCATCGTAATCGTCATCATCATCAGACTCCTCAGCATCATCATCATCAGCAGCAGCAGCATCATCAGCATCATCATCATCATGAGCAGCAGCAGCAGCACCAACAGCAGCAGCATGATCATCAACATCATTATCATCATCACCATCAGCATCATCAGCATAATCAACATCATCATCATCATCACCAGCACCATCATCATCATCATAATCATCATCGTCGCCATCATCATCAGCAGCATCATCAGCATAAGCATCGGCAACAACATCTGCATCATAATAAACATCAGCATCAAGATCACAATCACCAGCACCATCAATATCACCACCGTCAGCATCATCACCATCCTCATCACCACCACCATCATATGTCGCATCATCAGCAGCAGCAGCATCAGCATCAGCATCAGCATCAGCTGTACCAGCATCATCATCAGCAGCATCAGCAAGGCCAGGTTCACCATCAGTAGCATCATCATCAGCATCAACATCATTATCATCATCAGCATTATCATCAGTATCAGCATCACCTCCCCATTATCAGATTCCTTCTCCTCCTCCTCCTCCTCCTCGTCCTCCTCATCCTCGTCGCCATCGGTTTGAACGTGGTCGTGGTCGTGATCGTCATCATCATCAGCATCATCATCATCAGCAGCATCATCAGCATAATCAGCATCATCATCATCATCATCATCATCATCATCATCATCATCATCAGCATCATCATCAACATCATCATCAGCGCGGGCCGAACTAAGTACGAAGGACGAACGAAGAAAGGAAGTCCTCTCACTCCCCTCCTCATCTTCCTCCGCCTCCTCATCATCCTCCATCTACTCCCCTTCCCCCCTCCCCCGCGTCCCCATCCTTCATCCTCCCCTCATCCCTCCGCTCTCCTCTCCCTCATCTTTGATTCATCCCTCCCCCCCCCCCCCCCAATTTCCTCCCCCCCCACCCCTGGGCATCCGTGCTGGAGGCGAACGATCTGGCCCAGGTGTGGGTGCGAGAGGTCTGCTGCAGGAGGGCAGTCTGCCTGACAGGAGGCGTGGTCTCATCTCTCTTCGTCCTGGTCATCCGTCCTCACTCCTCCTTGCTGGCCCTTCATCGCCCCTCCCTCATCCTTCCTCAATCATACGCCTGATCCTTCTACTCCTGCTCCTCCACCGCCTCCCTCCTCCCTCATCCTCGCCCTTCCACCCTCCTCCATACTCGCCTTTCCGCTCTCCCCCATATACCTCCGCAGTCCTCATCCCGCTGCTGCTGTTCCTCCTCCTGCTCCTCCTCCAGTTCCTCCTCCTCCTCCTCCTCCTCCTCCTCCTCCTCCTCCTCCTCCTCCTCCTCCTCCTCCTCCTCCTCTCCTCCTCCTCCACCTCCTCCTCCTCCTCCTCCTCCTCCTCCTCCCACCTCCTCCTCCTCCTCCTCCTCCTCTCCTCATCCTCCTCCTCTTCCTCCTCCTCCTCCTCCTCCTCCTCCTCCTCCTCCTCCTCCTCCTCCTCCCCCTCCACCTCCTCCCTGATCCCTCCTCCTAGCCCTTACTCCCGCGCCCTTCCTCACTCCCCCCTCATCCCTCATGATCTTCCTGCTGCTGCTGCTGCTGCTGCTGCTGCTGCTGCTGCTGCTGCTGCTGCTGCTGCTGCTGCTGCTGCCCCCCCTCCTCTGGTCAAGCAGCCCAGACCCAGGCGCCACTTGCCTGGGCCGTCTCCAGGACCTCCGCGCAGTGCTTGGGGGATCTCGTCGCAACTGTTGGATGTTCGACCGCCTTTGACGGTAACAAACACTGGAGTTGAATAGGTGCTACGAGATGGGTGCTGGAGAGTGACGCCCAAGGATCACCCCGAAAGAGCGCAGAGCCCGGCGGGCATGGGCACAGTGGTCGGCTGAGCGAGCCATACACCGCCTCACACGCGAGGTGGAGCAGCCCCGCAAGATGCAGCATATCGACATCTACGCCGTCAGCTACAGCGTTGGGAACAGCAAGTGGGATAACTATGGACAGTGGCAGCCACAGGAGGACATGGGCGGAACGTGGGAGTCAGAGAGGCAGTGGCAGCGGAATCGGAATCGGCATCGGTGGGCGAGCGGAATCGGCAGGCGATACGTACGAGGACGATGGGCAGAGGACGGACTGTCCGTTCCACACGACCACCTCCCGCGTAACCAGCTTGGCTCAAACCCAGTTCGTCCTTTACATGTCAGCCGTGGAAAAGGATGGAGCGCCGACGCCAGGTCCTCACGACATTAGCTACAGCGCTGGGAAAAGTGTGCGCGAACGATGCGAGAAGGACGGCCTGGGGGAGAAGAAGGTCGAGACCAATGCCGTCAACTACAGAGATGGAACTGTGTGGCGAAACGCGGAGGTTGTACCCGACGTCATCCGCCACAGACCCGAGGTAGGTGCATGTGTGAACTCTTGGATGGCAGCAGTGGCAGAGGCGAAGAACGAGCCCAATGCCAACAGCTACAACGACCGGGCTGTGTCGCGTGACGCGAAGGTCGAGCCCGACGTCATCAGCTACAGACCCGAGGACGTGCATACGGGAGGTCTGGGAAGGCGGCAGCGGTGGAGACGAAACACGAGCCCAATGTCATCAGCTACAACGACGGGGCTGTGTCGCGTGACGCGGAGGCCGAGCCCGACGTCATCAACTACAGGCCCGAGGACGTTGCATGCGTGAAGTCCTGGAAGGCGGCAGTTGCGGAGACGAAGCATGAGCCCAATGCAATCAACTACCACGACGGGGCTGTGTCGCGTGACGTGGGGGTCGAGCCCGACGGCATCAGCTACAGGCCCAAGGACATTGCATGCGTGAAGTCCTGGAAGGCGGCAATGGTGGAGACGAAGCACGAGCCCAATGCCATCAACCATAACGACTGGGCTCGGTCGCGTGGTGCGACGGACGAGTCCAAAGTCATCCGCTACAGACCCAAGGATAGCGCATCAGAGCAGTCCTGGCTGGCGGCAGTGGCGGAGGCGAAGCAAAGGCCCAATGCCATCAGCTACAACGGCGGGGCGGGGTCGCGAGATGCGAAGGTCGAGGCCGACATCAGCTACAGAACCGAACCCGAATGAGACGAGAAGCGCTTCTCCGTGAGCGAGCTGCTGAACAGAAGGAGTTTGAAGATAAATGCATCACCCGAGCCATGACATGTAAAACCCAGCCTTTCGCACGGCGAGTTGTACACTTGGCGGCAGCATCGCAAGGCCATAACGGGTAATTGATCCACACACAGGTTGGAGTAGGTTATGAATGGAAATTGAAATCTACATAAAACAATCCATCGAGGAACCATGATAACGGAAGTGAGGTAGGACACCTTTTCTCAGCGCTCGGAACAGCCATCACCTAAGCGTCATCAAGTTGAACCGCTACCTTCTTTCGAAGGCCTTCTGAATGGAAGCTAATACCGCGCCGTGCGGTCCCGCGCAGAGTTTCATATGACCATGTCATCAAGCAGAGACTCCAGAGACTCCTCCGCGTCCTCCTCCAACCGTCTCCCACCTGCTCCTCATGGTCTTCCTCCTGCTCCTCCTCCTCCTTCCGATGCACTGAGGCCCTTTGGCTGAGGGCCACACACACACACCAACGCCGCGTCTCTAGGCCTCTTTAGTGACTGCAGACACGCGATCTTCGCTTCCAGGAATGAAGCCGCACTCCAGCCGACGAATGGTTTTCTGACCGTGCGCACTTGCTCTCTTGCAGGGCTTCACCCGAGACTTCAACTACTTGATAGAATGAGCACCGTACCTCCAGCATGCGACAGCAGCGACGTCCTGTCAGCAGAAGCGCGGCTGGGTGTCCAATGACATCGTTTTGGGGGGGGCTGCCTTCCGCGTGCCTCGAGCAGACGAGAAGCTTCCACCGCACGTGCATGGGCCCGAGGCTTGCATCTTGCCCTGGCGCAGGCACTGGACACCTTGGACACCCATGACGGCCCTCGGGGCCAAACCATTCATGCTCGAGAACCGCAGCTCGCGCAATCGAGCCGCACGAGCCGTGAGGCCGCATCGGTCGAGAGGAATGCTCCACAAGACAGCAATCACTGAAGGGGCCCTGGGACACACAAATAAGTACACGCAAATAAAAAGATTCTCCCATATTTTCTGTGTTTTTGTCTTCCCCCCCACTTCCCATAGCTTCCCATATGTTCTGGGGAATCGACGATTAATTGTGTCTGTGTGTTTTTTCCCTCCTGAATACCGACTATCCACGGCCGCGCCGATGCTGCCGATCCAGTGGACGACTCCTCCTGGGCTCCCCGGCAGGAGCGGGAGTTCAATTGGGGGAAAAGACGCTCTGGACGCGCGCACCAGCAACGGTGCCTGCCACAGGCCTGGCGGGCTGACGGCATCTCGCGGCCTGAGGGGGAGGCCGAGGTGGCTCGCCGAGGCTACTCCCCGGACCTCTGCTGGGGTGCGTTCTGACCAGACTTTGGACGTGAATCCAGCGGTGGCGACGAGGGCCGCCCAGGAAACCCGAAAAGGTGAAACCGAGGAAAGGGTAGCTGTATGGGTACCTCTTCCTCCTTTGATCGATGGCGTGGAGGACAAGAAACGCATGCCAGGCCCAAAACGACGCAGTGACCGACGCCGCCGGCGCCGGCGGCGCCGCAGCAGCGGCAGCAGAACGGCAGCCGAAGGATCCCAAGGTGGAGCCCCACCCCCGGCGCCGCAGCCGCTCCCAGAGGTACCGCCAGAGGCGAGCGGTGGCCCGTGGCACGGAAGGCGGCAGCGTCGCTGAGGAGTGCAAGGAGGCCGACGAGGAGGCCAAGTGCAGTGGATCGCCGAGGAGGTCAAGGAGACCCCCGAAGCGTCCGAGGTCGTCCAGGCGCCAGCCAGGCGCCACCCCAAGAGCCGCAGCCCAGCGACCTTGGAAGCCGATGACGTGGACGAGTCGTCCGGCTGCCGAATCCGCCGAGGGCGTGGCCAAGGGGCAGAGCAAGGACAAGGAAAAGGGCAAGCAGTAGCACAACTACGACCCTACCGAGGAGCAGACCCAGAAGATGAAGAGCAAGTACCACAGCAAAATTAGGGCAAGGGCAGGAGCCGCTCCATCGCGCTGGCACCGCAGCAGCACCCCAGATCCCAGGAAAAAGCCCTTCATGGATGCACTCCGGACAGAGCTCCGCCAGGTCGTGAGGCAGAAGTCTATGGAGGCTGTTTCTGGGAGTCCGGCGCCAACGTCGGCGGCGGAGGGAGCGCCCGACAGGCGCTACATGCTTTGGGGGGTCAGCGGCGAAGGCGGACGCCAAGGCGAACAATCAGCCAGCGGGCCGCGCGGGGCAGAGGCACACTGGACAGTGAAGAGGAGCAGGGCGGCCGCGAGGTGGGAAACGCGGGGGGAGGCCTGAGGCGTAGATAACCTTCACCACGAGGAGCGCGCAGGAGGTCCCAGGCACCGGAAAGCCGACGAACTGAAATGTGAGCACGAACTGCACAGGCGCTAGACACACGCCCCTTGGCTCGGGCGACCCGCGGAGCGTCCTGGTATGCTGTGGAGGACACCGCGGACGAGTGCGACAAGGACGATGTCACGGGGAACGAGGGCTGGGAGACGATGGGGGTCTACGATGCGAGCTGGGCTTCGCCACGTATTGCTCGCGAGGGCCTCTGTGGGGACGAGGAGCATGGGACGGACACTCGTGCGGTGAAAGAGCAGACGGGGCGTAGCGACCGGTAGGAGGTTGACGATCTTGGAGATCGCCTTTCGTCGGCTGGCCACCCTCGGACCGTTGACGAGATAACAGACAGACAAGCCTCCCGAGCTGAACGAAGAGTTGGGGAAGACAGCATATAAATAACAATCAGCCTAAACTGAAGAACAGTGACAAGGAGATGGATCAGGAGGCGGCGGCTAACGTTGAAGAGACAGCTGATGATGCAGGTGCCCCTCCATCGTATTCTTCTCCGGCGGCGGAAATCAAGACCATGATGCATGAGACCGCCGAAGATCCCGAGTACCAGGACGAACTCGACGATGCGCACGACGTGAAGATGAACAGCGAGGCAGCGGCTGCGCCTGAGGAGAAGACGGT